AGACAAAAATCTTTGGGAGGCATGGGAGCAGGATTTTCCTCTTCAGGTGCGAGGGACATATGAAGGAGAGAAGATTATTTAGAATGAAGGCTGTGAGAGATGAAGATGTATTGGAGCTTCTCTTTTTATATGGTACTCAGAGCCTGTTGCAGGGACTGATTTGGCAGTTTAAAGAAGGTATACAGGCCCTAGTCCAGTGTGGCTCAGAAATTAGAGTCGACCGACATCCCAAAGGATCGAGGGTTTGATTCCTGGTCAAGAGCACATACCTGGGTTGCAGGTTCAATCCCTGACCTTAGTCAGGGCGTGTGCAGAAGGCAACCAATCTCTCTCTCTCTCTCTCTCTCTCTCTCTCTCTCTCTCTCTCTCGTCTCTCTTTCACACACACACCTCTCTCTCTCTCCCTACCCTCCCTCCCACCCTTTCTAAAAATCAGTGGGAAAAATATCCTTTGGTGAGGATTAACAACAACAACAAAAGTATACAGGACTGCTGAAAACGGTTTGGCTCAGTGGATAGAGCGTCGGCCTGCGGACTGAAAGGTCCCAGGTTCGATTCCGGTCAAGGGCATGTACCTGGGTTGTGGGCACATCCCCAGTGGGAGGTGTGCAGGAGAAGCTGGTCGATGTTTCTCTCTCATCGATGTTTCTGACTCTCTATCTCTCTCCCTTCCTCTCTGTAAGAAATCAATAAAATATATTTAAAAAAAAAAGTATACAGGACTAGATCCTATCTTCCCCTTGACACACACACATACACACACACACACACACACACACACACACACACACACACTGCTCTATTGTCTGGGGCTGGAGGTGAGTTGGCTCTATGAAAGGCACAAGGCAGGATGGTGAAAGTTAAGGTTGAACTCAAGCTCTTATGGGTGTCCCTTTTTAGCTCAATGTTCTCTGCTTGGACCAGGTGCTCACGTGTTGAAATCCACATGGATGGGTCTGTCCAGGAATCCATGAAACACATACTCTGTCTCCCTGTCTCTGATAGGATGGATGGATGTGCATGAACAGGGAGGTGGGGAACGTTAAGCAGAAGGCAATGGAGTTTGTGATCTCAGAGGTCTGAATGGGCCTAGAAGTCAGTCCTCTATTTTGCAGCAGGGTTGGCTGGACAGCTAGAATAGGAGAAAAACTGCCTGGGTTTCCTACCTAAATGGCCCACCATCCCTCTGCTATAAGCAGTGCATATCAGCAGAAGCCTTGGCCTTCAGGGTGTTTTCAGCAACCTGGCACTCCCCAACATATTGACCTGATAGTGCTGGCTGGTTCCAGGGAGGAACAGGGTAGTGGTTGGGATTACTGAGGCATGGGGATTCTGGATGAGGCATTCATGGTGTTATTGTTGGCAAATTTGGCTAACAGAGGGCAGAGCAGACAGAAAGGGTACGCACAATGGCTTCCATTTAGGGCCTGGTTTACATGTTTCATGGATTCTCAGCTTGAGGGGGTGGGTGATAAACCATTGGATTTCTATTTGGAAGACCTGGAAAATGATCCTGTGAACAAAATCTTCTGTATGTACAATATGATTTCAACGATGCATGTGTGTATAAAGAAAGAAAACTGGAAGAAAAGTACTAAACTATTAACAGCTTAATGGGCTCATCAGGTTGTCTTCCCACACTTGGACAATTAGCAGAAATAGTGAACTTCTTCTGTGTCCTTTTCACTACACCCTTCAAGTTTGACACTTAGCCCCATTTTTCTGGCTATGACCTGGACTCCTTCCTGATTCTTCACCCCTACCACGCTACCTCTAGTCTCCTTGGGTAAAAATCCAGGATTGGATTCAACCTAGGACCTTTCTATTTCTGTGCCACCCCTGAGATCCTACAATGCACTATACCCTCAAGAGCAGAGTGATCAGGAAATGGACATCAAGCTGTATTGGCTGAATAAAAGCAACATTAAGACAGGAGCCCAAAAGTTCTAATTTTCCATTTCACTTTTTTCACTTGGCTACCTCGTCTAGTATGTCCTTTTGAAAAGGATTTGTAAAAACCAGTATCAATTATTAATATAGGACCACTTCCATCTTTCCCTAGCAGTCCTTACATATAGTTTGAATAACCTTCCACAGCCTGAGCTGGGTCGGCGACATTGGAAATGTTCTGCAGATTTTCAGGGTTTTGCATTTCCTTAATCTCATGGACCCATTTGGGAAGAGTTTTTGCCTGTGTGTCTTAAGCACCATTTATATTGGAAGCGGCCCCTTTTGACTTCTAAGCCATACACCAATGCTATCTCATTAATCAAAGCCATACACAATGCCACATTTTATTCAGTAATGAGGCCCAGGGACCGGCTGGATGATAGACTCCACATGTGAGGCAGTGCTGCTGCATGCCATCTGAGGAAGCCTCAAAATTGCTGTGATGTAATAAGCAGAACTCCCACCAGCCTGCTCATTGATTCTGTTGATGGGGTCTGAATCGCTGAACTATAATGATGTCACTGGTGAGACGTGTTCTTAAACAATGTGATCAATTTCCTCCATCAATTGTCCTGGTCCGGGGTGGAACAGAAATGGGGAAAGTCCTTGATAGGGCTAATGTTTGAGCCATGCCAGAGACAGCAGGCTTATGTTTAGGGCCTCTTACCTTGTATGTCTCAAGATCTAATGAAAGGGTTCAGTTGGTTAGAGCATTGTCCTGATATGCCAAGGTTGTGGGTTCGACCTCCCATTCAGAGGGACACATACAGGAGTCAACCAATGAATCTCTCTCTCTCTCTCTCTCTCTCTCTCTCTCTCTCTCTCTCTCAGATTTACATTGCTCGGGGTAGTAGTTTTCCTCCTCTCCACTCCATTTTCCTCCCATATCCTCCCTTTTCTCTCCTGCCTTCCTCTCTCTCTTGCAGCATCACTACCTCATCAAGAAGATGTATTCAGCCCAGCCAGTGTGGCTCAGTGGTTGAGCATTGACATATGAACAAGGAGGTCATGGTTCGATTCCCGGTCAGGGCATATGCCCGGTTTGTGGGCTCGATCCCCATGGTGGGGCATGCAGAAGGCAGCTAATCAATGATTCTCTCTCATCATTGATGTTTCTATCTCTCTCTCCCTCTCCCTTCCTCTCTGAAATCAATAAAAATATTTTTTTAAAAATAAAAAAGACATGTTCAAGTCGCAGTAAACAGGCAGAGAACAAGTCAATTCTAGCAACAGTTTTTTTTACATCTACAAGCTATTCAAATGGACTTCCTGTAGCCTAGAACTGCAAGCACCCTGAAGAAACCCTGCCAGAACTCCAAGGGACAATGAGTACACATTGATATTAACCTGTAGTTTCCCTTCCGAGGAGCTCTGCTATAGGAACTCTCTCTTCTGGTCAAACAGGTCTGCCCACCATTCCTTAAATATATTTCACAGCTTCCTGTCACCTGAAATGCTTGGCCTTCCATCTCCTTTATGACCTGAGCCCAACTCTGCCTCTTCCATAAACCTACCCTCTTTTCCTACATCTGAATGCTTTCTGGCACCTCATATTTACAGATGGCATTTAGGACATACTCCCTTGTTGCAGGTACAAAGGTACATGTCTCTAACACTGTAGGATGTTCATCCAATTTTTTAAAATGTATTTTTATTGATTTCAGAGTAAGGAAGGGAGAGGGAGAAAGAGATAGAAACATTAAAAAAGAAAGAAACATCAATGATGAGAGAGAATCATTGATTGGCTGCCTCCTGCACACCCCCTACTGGGGATTGAGCCGCAACCTGGGCAAGTGCCCTTGACCGGAATTGAACCCAGGATCTTTCAGTCTGCAAGCCGATGCTCTATCCACTGAGCCAAACCAGCTAGGGCAGCGGTCGACAACCGGTGGTCTGCGGACCACTCGTGATCCGTGAGGTCCGAAAGGTTGGCAACCGCTGAGCTAGGGCAATCGATTGCCTTCTGTATGCACCCCAACCAGGGGATCAAACCCACCAGCTTTTGGTGTACAGGATGATGCTCCAACCAACTGAGCTGCACTGGCCAGGGCCAAAGTACTTTGTATGTTTCCTTAAGAACCGTTGGGATGTTTTCCACTCTTCTGCCACCTGTCCCCAGCATGTCCCCAGCATGAGTATCCAGTAGATGTCCAGTAAAGACTTATCAATTGATGTATTCACATGCCCAGATTTGGCCAAGGGAAGCTGAGGCTTTGGCTCTCTGTGTGGCAGTGAGCTTGGGCTGAGGTGGAGTGCAGAAAGCAGAGAACCAGTTTCTGCTGACTTCACTTTTTTCTTTGCTGCCATTCAGACCACAGAATTAATAGGGTCTTCGGGTACATCTTCCTTCAAACTGGACTGATCCTACAGTTAATGGTTAACATTCTTTGTTTACCTTAATGATTGCCAAGATCTGTTGCTGCACATGATACACATTGCGGTCCAAGTGCCTTGGCCCCGAGGGTAAAAGACCATTTTTGAAGAGGTTTTAGGGTTCTGAGATGGGATTGGTAATACTTTGCTCCATCCCTACGCACTCAAGACATGGACAATAAGCAGAGAGCCCTGGTACTGCCAGGTGGGTGAAGGAGTGTCATCCCCACTTTGACCTCAAGGTGCCAGTAAGCATCCTCCCCAGCATCATATCCTTTTAGAGGCTGGGAGCTATAAGGGATGGAAGGGAACACAGGAACCCTCTCTGCAGCTCACCCACACTACGTATGGCCAGGGGGTGGGGAAAGGTTGAGAGGTGTTGATGAGCTCAGGTCCATGCAGTTCAGTCTCCCAGATGAGATAGGCTAAACATGGGCACACGGGTGACAATGATGCCTCTCTCCCTCTGGAACAGAGCAGTAACTCCAGACTACGTGATCTGCCTACCCAAACCCATTGGAAACTCAGGAGATCAATCTTATTTAATAATTGTGTGTGTGAGGAGGTGGGGCTGGTTAATGTTTGTCTGGTTCCTCTTGGGCTTTGGGCCATATCTGGCTCCAGCCCTGGTTTTTTTGCCCCTCCCCTGGGCTGGGCTGACAATACCTAGTGGCATAGTGCAGACACGTCCGCAGACATTCCCGGGAAAGAGCAGCAGCAACCAGGTGAGGAAGCTGGGGGCTGAGAGAGGTGGACCAGGGGGCCTTGGTGTGGCACAGGGGGGCAGAAATGGGGGCTGGGAAAAGGTTCAGGTCTTATCTTTTCTTGGCCTTGGCATTCAGCCACTTTGATCCCTTCTATGCTTCCCTCCAAGTTGGGGTGAGGAGGCCCCTTCTGCCAGGTGGCGAGCTTGCTTAGCCCCTCTTTGTGGCCCTCAACTCTTATCCTCTTTTCAGGCTCCAAGTCGTTTATCCTCTCAATCTTTTTCCCTAGCTAAGGATTCCCTTCATCCCCACAGGGCCAAGTTCCCAGGAAGATTTGTGAGCCCCCCCTGGCACAGGGTGGCCAAGTTCATCTCTTTAGAACATTTCCTACCACACAGGGTTAGGGTTCAGTGGGACCATTGGGCACTGCTGTTTTCCTTCCCTGATTAGAAGGCAAACCAGGCGTTCAACCAATATGGGGGCTGCGGGTAGACGAATACAGTGCACTCAGTAGGTGCAGAGGGCCAGCCAACAGAGCTAAAATTTCGGAGCATGTATTTCCATGTACTTGAGGGAGGCAGACAGACTTAAACAGAGTTTGGAGTAACTGATAATTTGGAGATCTAAATAGACTGCCTTCCAGCTGTTTGAAAGTTGTTCCAGCTGTTAGGAATGGCATGGTAGAATGCATAGACTTAGAAAATGAGATGAGAGGAGGATAATAGAGATAAGAAAGAGGGGTTTGAATGGTTAGAGGATAGATGTGGATGCAGCAAAACACTGGGGAAAGGACCCAGGCTTTGGTGAGGAACCAACATGAATCCTAACTGGAGCTCCAGCACTTGCTCAGCTTCTTTGAGCCTCTGTTGCCTTGTATAATTAAACATGAGGGCAAAACACACCGGGAGCAACACAGAGCATATAAATATCTGGACTTTAACCCAAAGTAAAAAACAAACAAACAAAAAAAAAAGTTTGGATTTCAAAATCAGGTCACGCCCCTGGATGTTTTTTTAAAATGAAACCCTTGAGGTACTAATGTTGGCATAGGGATCAGCTCTCCTTCCAAATAGGAGAGCAAAAATTGAGATCCAAGTGCCCGCACAAGAGTCCTTAGGGGCCCAAAGGGAGCTACTGGCCATGTCTCAGAACACTCAAGAAGATGAGGGGCTGAAAGCTACAAGAACCTAGAAACTCAGAGGTGGCTAGGCTGTCTGTGGGGCACCCCAAGGGGTAGAAAAAAGAGACAGCTGAAACTTTCTTTGGAGTTTGAGTAAGCAGAGCAAGAAAGCTAAGGAAGGGAAAATAGAACAAACCAGGATGCAGCAGAAAACATTGGGAAGGAAGGAAAAGAAAAGAGTTGTCAGTTGCTAGGAAAGAGGAGAAGGGACTACAAGAGAATAAAGCCATACCAGTTTTGAATCTCCCTGTTTCTAAAAACACAAAAAGAAAATTAATTCCAGCCAAAGCAGTAGAGCTTATGGGACAGAATATGGGCTCTGGAGTCAACTTAGCATGGCTCAGATCCCAGCTCGGTCATGTGCTAACTGTGCAACCCTTGTGACCCTTGTACAAATCCCTTTGCCTTTCTTTACCTCAGTTTCCCCATCTGTGACATGAGGACTCAAAGTAACACCTACCTCGTGGGGTTGTTCTGAGTTTTACATGAGATGGTGCATGTGCTAGGGCCTGGCACATAACAGGTGCTCAGTAAACAATTATTCTTAATGTTTTTTGACCACATGTTTCTGAATGTAATGTCTCACTGGACAAAACATTTCTTTATAGCTAACCGTGGTGCCTCCTATAGCGGCTCTGCCTTCAGAACCCTAGGCTTGGGAGAAAGGGCACCTGTGTTCCTGCTCCCCACGCTGGCTTAGCTCCATAGCATGAACTCACTAATGATTTTACATTAAATGAAGAAACCTTGTTCAAATAAGTAATCTATGTCCTGTGGACCATCCCTTTATCCCCTAGTTTCTTTCATCCCATTCTGCAACTTTTCCAGTTGCTAATTCCCCACCCCTCCTCCCTGGAACAGAGAGGACCACCTAGAACTAGATATGGGATTTTTGCCACAACCACTGCCCCTTGCAGTGGGAGCAGGAAATTCCCTGTATTTTCTTCGAGTTCAGGCCTGTGTCCTCACATTCAGTTCCCTGCTTCCAGTATGATCTTCTTACAACTTAATGGCAGAAGTGGTGAGAGGTAGGGGGAGGCCTTCTTGCCTACCTAATGGATAGAGATGAATTTCTTCCCTAGAGCAACTGGCAAGCTTGGGAAACCAGGAGGTTACAGTGTACACTTGACATAGGGGGCAGGGCAGCAATGGAACAGTCTGTTCTATCTCAGATGGACACTATAGGTCAACAATAACATTGGGAAGAAAAAAGAGAGAGATTGGGTTTGGCAGCCCACTTAGTCCCCCAAATCGACACTGTTTTCTCTTCCTGGTAAGGTTCTTACTTCCCTTGATTAGCAACTATGAAAGTGGAGCTGAACTAAGAACTTTTGCAGGTTGCTTAATAACCCTGGATATTAAGGCTGTTTATACATGAGCAAGCAGGCTCTGAGAAGTTCAGTCACTAGCCCAGGGTCATATTCGGTGCAGAACCAGGATTCAAACCCAAAGCTGTGTAACTCTTACCTGTTCCATCTTCTAACTTTCTACTTGATTGTTTGATTCTCTCTTTCTCATTCTGGCTTGCTCTCACCATGTGTCCACTTGTCCACCCTCTGTATGGGTTCCCTTTCCAGAAGCTCAAGGAGAGGTGGCCAGGGTATGCTCCATGACACTGGATTTGGAATTTACTCACAGGTCAACAGCTTCTTTATTGCTCACACTTTTATGTGTAACATTAGCCTTGGCTTTTTTTGTTGTTACTATCAGCTAGCCTTGGCTTTTGCTGACACTATCTGCAAAAGCACAACTATACTGTGGAAAGAGCCTAGACTTCTGCTTCAGATCCTTTTGTGTTTCATCCTACTCCAACACTTCCAAGCTGTGTGACTTGAGTGAGTGACTTAACTTATCTGAGCTGTAGCTTCCTCATCTGGAAAGACAGTCCTTAGAGGCTGGCTAAGTGGATCAAGAGAAAGAATGTATGAGAAAGTGCCTATAACACAGTTCCTGGCTTGATAAACATGAGCTCCCTTTCCTCTCCTCTATCTAGCTCACCCATACCCTGGAGGGGATCTAAGTCTAGGAACAATCCAGCGGACCGTAAGTTTCTAGCAGGGTCATGGGGAAGGGCCTGGGCCAAGAATGTCATGGTTCTCTCTGGTGCCCTCTTACATGTACCTGTCTTTGTTAAATCTCCTCCCCCTACGCCGCGGCCATTCTTCTGGTGGGGCTATGGGGTGGTGTGGCGATGGACCGGGCGGGCACAGAACAGGTGGGTGCAGGCTGGGTGTCTGGCGCTGGGACACAAGTGCTCTGTGTGTAGGGTGGGCGGAAGTCAGGGCGTTTGATCTGAATTCTAAAGGGCGTTGTTCAGAGACCCACAAAGGTCCCATTGTGCAGACACTGGGTATAAAGCAGCATATGACTCCCCAGCACCGGGTGGTGATGAATTGGGACGCAGGCGCGGACCCAGGGACCACTCCCCCGGCACAGACATGAGACCATAGGGGACCTGTCTGGGTGGCCTCAGGGATAGGCGCTCCCCAAGGTAACAGGGCTTTTTGGGTTTGCCCCAGCTTCAAACTTTAGGAGCTGGAGGATGGGGAGCTAAAGAGGATGGCTAAAGGCAGAACAAGATGTGCCTGGCAAAGAAAGGGACTAGAGAGGAATGAATGTTGGATGAAAGCAAAAATGGGAGATGGGGCTCTGGGAAGTCAAGTCAAGTGAGTGAGTGAGTGAGTGAGTGAGTGAGTGAGTAGGAGAGGCTGGCAAGGGAGATGGGGTGATGAGGAAAGTTATGAGTATCCTTCTTCCTTTCCTGTCACTGGCTCTTGGAAGGCCTGGTGGAGGGAGGGGGTGGTTCAGATGGTGTTATGGTGACTGGCCTTCTGCCCCGGCTCTCTGACAGCTTGCTTTGTGGCTCATGTCTTACAGGTGTGGATGAGGCAGGATGAACTGGACAGGCTTGTACACCGTGCTCAGTGGCGTGAACCGGCATTCTACTGCCATTGGCCGAGTATGGCTCTCAGTCATCTTCATCTTCAGAATCATGGTGCTGGTGGTGGCTGCAGAGAGTGTGTGGGGTGACGAGAAGTCTTCCTTCATCTGCAACACCCTCCAGCCCGGCTGCAACAGTGTCTGTTATGACCATTTTTTCCCCATTTCCCATGTGCGTCTGTGGTCTCTGCAACTCATCTTGGTTTCCACCCCAGCTCTCCTCGTGGCCATGCATGTGGCTCACCAGCAGCACATAGAAAAGAAAATGCTGCGACTTGAAGGCCATGGGGACCCCTTACATCTGGAGGAGGTGAAGAGGCACAAGGTCCACATCTCAGGGACATTGTGGTGGACCTATGTCATCAGCGTGGTCTTCCGGCTGATGTTTGAGGCTGCCTTCATGTACGTCTTTTATTTGCTCTACCCTGGTTACGCCATGGTGCGGCTTGTCAAGTGTGAGGCCTACCCTTGTCCCAACACAGTGGACTGCTTCGTGTCCCGCCCCACGGAGAAAACCGTCTTCACTGTCTTCATGCTGGTCGCCTCCGGCATCTGCATCATCCTCAACGTGGCCGAAGTGGTGTACCTCATCATCCGGGCCTGTGCCCGCCGGGCCCGACGCCACTCCAATCCACCCTCCCGCAAGGGCTCAGGCTTTGGCCACCGCCTCTCACCTGAATACAAGCAGAATGAGATCAACAAGCTGCTGAGCGAGCAGGATGGCTCCCTGAAAGACATACTGCGACGCAGCCCCGGCACTGGGGCCGGGCTGGCTGAGAAGAGTGACCGCTGCTCTGCCTGCTGATGCCACATACCAGGCAGCCTCCCATCCCGCCCCCACCCTGCCCAGGCCTGAGTTGAGCCTCCTTCTCCTTTGCCGGTTCACTGGCCTCTACCTGCCAGGGAGAGAGAGCTCCATCAAAACTTTCCTTCCCCCCTTCTCCCCTTCCTCCCCCCCTCCCACCCCCCACCCCTGCCTGCTGCCTAAAGGGCTGAAGAGGTAGGAAGCCTGAGTGCTCAAGATTATTGAGGGTGTGGGTTATTGAGGGTCTTGTTGCCTGTACCCCTTATTCTTCCTTCTCCTTCCCCGGGGCCACTGGGGATAAGAGATAGGATGCTCTGACATCTTCAATTATGAAACTAATCTTAACCCTGTGCTGTCAGATATCCTATTTCTGGAGTCACATCAATAGGGAGGGAAGTGAGCAAGGGAGGGTGCTGTGGACCTGTGGGTGGAGAAGGGAGGGTAGCAAGAAAAAGAGGAGCAGCACTTGTAGCCTCAAGGAAAAAGAGGACATATCTGGGGTGGAGGAGTTAGGGAGAGAGAAAGAAGCAGGCAGATAAATTGGAATGGGGGTTGGTCAGGGCTGCCTTTGCCTCTAGTCCCCAAGGCCTCTCTCTGCCTGAAATGTTACACATTAAACAGGATTTTACAGTAAATGAAGGGGTGGCTTGTGTGTTTGTCAAGTTCTTTCTCCTGTAACCTCTGACCTTTCTTGGCTGAGCTGGCCTTGGCTTTTGCTGATCAAGAAAGGAATGGGTGGCAGAGAACAGTGATTTGAGGAGCTGAAGCTGCAAATGATAAACCGCAGCCCTACTGGCCCGCAAAACCAGCCCCTGAGCTGTTCTCCCCTGAGTTCTGTTGTTTTGTCTTTTGGGGTTTTTCCCCCCCATTTTTAATAACATCTTTATTGGGATCTAATTCATTTACTCCCTTCCTCTGCTTCTATTTAATTTTTTATCCATTTTAAGTATAAGGTTTTTTGAGTTCTGATAATTGTGTGCAGTCTTATAAATGTGACCACAATATATTAGAAAACAGAAATATCTCAAAAAGTTTCCTTGGGCCCCGTCCTCTGAATTTGAAAATATTAAAATGACAACACCCTCTGGGGACACAGGAAATGATAGAGAAATTTCACAGCTCTTAGAGAGGAGCACACATTCCTTCCTTACCTTGGTGAAGGCCCCTCCTCTGTACTCCTGGGAGAAATAGTCCCCTTTCTCCCTTGAAATTCAGCATTCTTGGCAAACTAGTGCCCCACAAGCCACCTATCCAATTATGCAGTGACTTTGACCCCTTTCCTTGGGACCTAGCCCCTAATTCTTCCCTCCTTCCCAGTTTCCTTCCTCCAGAGATCAATGCCACCCACCCCAGAGATGACTCCACCCCAGGTCAAATATTGCCTAGCAACAGTTTCCTCACCAGCATAGCATCACTCTCCAAAGCAGCAAGTAGCCTCCCCTTCCCCTGTCAGCTGTGGTGGGAAAAGGCTCAGGCAGGGACTTGACCTAGCAGTGTTCCAGTCCAGCTTCTGTCACTTATTAGCAAGGTGTTCCCTTCTCCAAGTCTCAGTTTCCTTGAGCAAATAGGGCTGGCCTCACACATCTCTGAGCTCCCTTTAACACTCTGTGCCTCTGGGATTCTTAAAAGTCTTCTCCAGTCTCAAGGAGGGGGGGAGTCCCCTCTCAGAATCGCCGCCCTCACCAATGGCCCCTCACAGTAAAGTTCTCCCCCACAGCAAATTTCTCTCCTCAGCTTTCCTACCTCCTAACAGAAAACAAGGTTTTGCCACTCCCTCTCAGAATGTGCTGGCTCCCCGTGGGAAGAACAGAAGGAAAGAGAAAATCAGGCATAATCTTATCAGAATTGCTCTCCTCTAGAAACAGTCTCTCCTTCCTACAGAAAGCATGGAAGCTTTCTTCATTCGAGGCTGTTTCTCCTTCAGAAAGGAAAAGAAAGAGTAAGTGGTCATTTCCCCCACAGTCAGCAATCCGAGAGAGAGCTTCCTCCTCTCTTAAAAGAGATACATCCCTTTCCTGCAAGAAATTTCCTTTCTCCTTAGAAACCGACATCATACCCTGTCAGAGGAGAGGTCTACACCCCCTCACGGTGGGAGGGATTATTTTTCTTCTTGAAATCGATCTGCCCCTCACCCATAACACAACACAGCACACATAGAGCATCTACTCTCTTCCCAAAAGGCCATCAAAAGAAAGATTTTCTTTTTTCCACAAATAAACTTCATGCCCTCCCCGCACTGAGGAATGCTAAATACATCATCACCTCAGAAATCTCCTTTCTTTTAAAAAAAATTCTACAAATCCTCTTTGAAAGAGGCACCAACTCCAGATCCAGGCTTTCCTCTCCAGGGGGCAGTGGTGGGACAGAAAAGCTATCCAGCTGGTGTTACAACCAAAAGGACGCTTAACTCTTGTGTCTTGAACCAGGTGGGAGTAGGCCAAAGGAAGCTTGAGTAGAGCCGGTGTACACACGTCACAGGGAGGGAGGAGGAAGAGTAGGGGTAACCCCGGGACTGACTTTTTTAAAAATACATTTTTATTGATTTCAGAGAGGAAGGAAGAGGGAGAGAGAGACAGAAACACCAATGATGAGAGAGAATCATTGATTGGCTACCTGGGAATCGAGCTTGCAACCTGGGTATGTGCCCTTGACCAGAATTGAACCCTGGACCCTTCAGTCCGCAGGCTGATGCTCTATCCACTGAGCCAAACCAGCCAGGGCCTGGGCCTGACTTTTTTATTTGAGGCTTTGGTCACAAGAGTGTAAGGGAGAAACAGGAGGCAAATGGGGCTTAATACCTGCCACACAGGAAACAATGTATTGAGTGATTAGGGTAGTGAAGAGGACTTTGGAATCAGGAGACCTTGGTTTCCATTTATTGGACACGTAATACCCTCTCTCAGTCTCAGTTTCCTCATCTGCAATATAGGGTTGATAATAACCTTTCTACTTCTTTCTCTGAGCTTCTGTGAGAATCAAACAAGATGTGTTCAAAAGTTGGTTATAAAATGTAAAGTAAGGTAAGATCGTATCAGAACCACAAGACCGCAGCCTTAAGGCATGCTAAAACTTGCAATGAACCAGAAAGGACTGAGGCTAGGTCAGCTAAGCTAGAGTTAGTGGAAAGAACTTGGCAATAATAGGATTGGCTCCCCCAGGGAACGGCCAGCAGTCCAAATAGCAAAGTCCAAGAGATGTTGCAAGCTTCCCTTGAGCATGATTCATCTAAGGGTCAATATTTAAGGAGTCTGAAAGGTGGCAGAAAAGGCCTAATAACAAGAGTTACTGACACACTCTCGAGCATGGTACTGGGGCTTTTAGGGATATTTATGATCTTTTAGACTTAGAGGCATCTGTGTGCAGAGCTGCCAGGAGCTGGGGGCAAAGGGACAGTCAGCTCTTGGATGAAGGGACAGGCTGAACTAGGAGAGTAATCAAGTTTCCAGCCAGCTGAAATGGGATTTCAAAGCAGGCTGAGGTATCCATAGAGAATTGGCATGGCAACCATGAACTGATTCAGAGACCCAATCAGATAGCCTGGGTACACACAGTGGCAGCTAGATGGAAATGCCTGCCTGTTCCATTTACTGATTCCATAATACTTCAATGCCAAGCCTAACCTATGCTAGAGAAGGGGCTATAAATACCCACCAAGCTAGACCCCTTTGATTCCTGGACTAGGCCAGGCAGAACCTGTCAGGTGGGAATATGATTGCGCCATTGTAGGGAAGGAAAATAAAGCGGGCAAAAATCACACCATATCTTCAGATTTAGGCTAATAATCTGCTGTGGAAGGTTTAAGGAATAGAATAGCTAGAGGTGAGGTGGGAAAGATAAACTATGATCAGCTTATTATGGGCCTTATATGTCACTATAAGGAGTTGAGACTGTCCTATAGGTAGTGGAAACCATAGAAGGTTATGAGTGGGGGAGTGGCAGTTTCAGATATATGATTTGGGAGTTCACTCGGGCAGCCACACAGAAAGTAGATTAGGTATTGGGAAGAGAAGAGGCAGAATGGCCAACTATGCTATGCTAGGTAGGGCCCATAAAACTAGGACAGTTGTAGAAGGAATAGGAGAAGACAGATGTGAGAGACACTTTGTAGAATCTACAATAGGACTTGATGTCTGAGTGTGGGGAGATGGAGGAGCCAAAGATAATTTGGACATTTCCTTCCCCTTCCTTGAGGGCAAATATCTAATCATTCAAGACAGCTCAAAAGTCATTTACTATGTGAAGCTTTCAACTCTCTCCTCCTTGCCAACCCTCCCCAGTCCCTTGGCAAGAATGAGTCTCCCTTCCCTTCTGAATTTCTGCCATACATTGTAGTGTATGTTGATTAGAGTGCTTATCAAATTGTGTGGCGATCACTTGCATAACCTTAACATACAGGAGGTGCTTAGCTTGTTCAATTAAGGGCAGTAGGGACAGAATATAGGCATGTGCTTAGGTTCAGCATCTCGAAAGAGTAGTGTGTGCTCAGTGTGATTAGAACAGAGAATGCATGGGATTTGGTGGAGGTTGTAGTAGGAAGTGAGGCTGGCAAAGTAGATTGGGGCCAGTTTGTGAAGGTGAAACCGGACAACCAATGGGTCCAGGCTGCCTGTCACTACTTGAGCCAATTCAACAGAGACAGGGTTAAATCATATATGAGCATTTATTCCAGTAATGCCAGCATTATGGGAGAGCAGCAGGTCACCCAAGAAAATCTGCTCTGCACCCCACCATAAACCAGCTGCTTATATTTGATAGAATGATGATTACATGGGTAAGTAGGAATTACAGGCATCTGGAAGTAGGCAATGGGGCTGGGGCGGCATTCCATTGTTTGGGCAACAAGGTTGTTAATCTTTCCATGATAATAGGCAGTTCTTGAATGGGAATGGACCCCATTCCAAGGTTGACTCCCGGGTCCAAGGTTGACTGTCAGGCCCCAGGGCTGTACAACTCCCAGCCAGGTTAGAATGTCCTTTCTTTAATCAGAACAAGGCAATTACAATTAACCAAGCATGATTAATATTTCTTATAACAATAGCTAGTCTCCAATATTCTATTTTTGCCCCTAACAAAGGGACTCATATAATGTGCATGGAAGTTTGCACAGGAGTTTGAACTCTCAGCTATCACATGTAGCAACTCTTGTGACTTCCAAGTTAGGCCCCTGCTATACTTACAGGCAATTCTGTACTCATAATTATAGACTGACTGTGGAGATCTTGAGGAGATCCAGGTCAGGGCAGACCTTTGCACAAATAGATATATTAAGGTTGATGGTGAACTATGGAAGAAAGAGCAATGATTTAACAGTGGACTTCAAGGAGAAAGGGTAATTTACACAGGATGGTGACCACTGTTCTCCATTCCAACTGAAGGAAGTCTCTCTGAAAAGTCAGTATAGCATAGTGATTAAGAGCATGGTCCACTTCCTACCTGTGTGACTTCAGTTAAGTTACTCAGCCACTCTGTGCCTCTGTTTCCTCATCTGTCATACAAAGATAATTAAAGTCCCTATGTCATAGGGCTATAGTAAGGAATAAATGTGCTGATTATATATAAAGCACTTGGAAGAGTGTCTAGTTGATAGTAAGTTCTATACAAGTGTGTGCTGTTATGATTTCATCTCCCCATCTTT